CACACACACACACACACACACACACACACACACACACACACACACACACACACACACACACACACACACACACGTCTTTCTTAATAGGAGTGTGTGCATGTATCCATCAGTCTGTATCTAAGCGTAGAATTAGTCTAATAATTTATATAGAAACTATAATTTGTTAGATGCAGTCACTGTGTCAATATTCTCTGATTTCCCCTGACATTTTCCTCTTGGTCACTCAGTGATACAGTTCAGCCCTTTCCACATTACAGCAGTAACTCATCAAATATCTACTCAGTCAGTTGATTTTGGGGTTCTTCTGCAGAAAAGATTTCTGTCTGCTTGGCAACAGCAAAACCAAATTCACAGCAAAGCGTCACAAAACAGAGAAAGATTTCATTCTTTGTTGAAATTACAAGTTTGGTTAATCTGGAAAAGCTATTCCTGATTAACTATTCCTGATCAACTCCAAGTGTGGACACTCTTTTTCCAGAATAAGAATGCTTTATTCAAATTAGTTTATCACATGGATTAAACTAAATTGAAATTAAGCACTCTTATTCTGGCATAAAAGCATCCATACCTGGAAATAGTCAGGAATAGTTAATTGGCTTTAAATACATAACCTGCCTGCTTCCAAACTAAACTTTCATGTGTAGATAAGCCCTTAGACTTTTGTTAGGCACAACATTCCGATTAAAAAAATTGTACTATAGAATACCAATAAAGCATGTGATAAGTAGCTAAATGACTGATCTAAAAAATTAGTTGTCAATGGGGAATCATCATCAAATAGGGCATTTATCATGGAGTTCCCCATGGATCAGTACGAGACCTGATACTATTCAACATTTTCATCATCACAGCTGACACAATTTGTGGACACAAAGATTGGTGTTATGATGGGGCCCAGGGCAGTCATGCAGAGCTATTTGGATCACATGGTATACTGGGTCCATTCGGATAAAGTGCATTTTAATATAACCAAATGAAAAGTTACACACCTAGGAACAAGCAATACAGGCCATGTCTACAGAATGGGGGTCTGTATCGTAAAAAGCAACAATGTAGAAAAGGATTTATTAAGGTTTAAGGGTCATAGTGGTCAAGCAACTCAACATGATCTCCAAGTATGATGCCATGGTAAAAAGGGCTAATGCGATCCTTGGATGTATAAACACGGGAGCAGTAAGTAGGGAAGTGATTTTACTTATGAATACTGCATTGGTGAGAAAAATACTGGAATAATATACACAGTTTGGGTGTCCACATTGTAAAAAAGATTGGAAAAATGGAAAGGGTGCATAACAAAGCCACAGAAATGGTTTGAGGGCTGGAGGAAATGCCTTAAAGTGAGAGATTTAAAGAGCTTATTAAAAAGAAGGTTGTGTGGTGACTTGATTATAGTGTGTAATCGCCTTCACGGGAAGAAAATACCAGGTACTAAAGGTTCTTTAATTTAGCAGAGAAAGGCATAAGGAAAACCAAAGGCTGGAAGCTGAAGCCAGACAAAATTCAAATGAGAAATAAGGCACACATTTTTAAACAGTAAGGGTGATTAATCATTGGAACAAGCTACCAAAGGAAGCATCTATTGATGTCTTCAGATCGAGACTAGATGCTTTTCTGGAGAATATGCTTTAGCCAAAGACAAGTGATTGGACTCTATACAGGGGTAGCTGAATGAAATTCATTGGCCTTTACTATATACTCGGTCAGACTAAAAGATCTAATGAAACATCATCGATTAATGTGTCTGTTCTAAGCAGATTATAAATAAAATTATAAAAGGATGTAGTCTTACCTGTAGTTGACTGAATGTTCTTGGATGTTGGAGTCATAGATGAATTTTCTTGTGCTGATATTTTGATAAAAGAAACACTATTAGTCAGTTAACCACTGTTCTGAACAGATGTCTGTCAAAGGAATAATCAACAATCAAACAATCCCCGCCCCGCCCCGCACCCGTTCTTAATAGGAGTGTGTGCATGTGTCTGTCAGTCTGTATCTAAGGGTAGAATTAATCTAATAATTTATACAGAAACTATAGTTTGTAAAATGCCCTGGGATCCATCTCCAGGAAAGGGTCTCTATGTGATACAACATAATCACTATTAAAAAAGGATTACAATGAGAAGATATACAAAGATGAAACAGCATATTAAAATATACCCACTATAAAAACTATAAACATTTAGTGTAGTCACTACCCTTAAATTACCACAATGCTCTGGGGATATGGCAGTCAGGGGAAGGCCATTTAAAAAAGAAAGTCTACACCTCAATATACAGTTTAGACAATACCACTGTGCAATTTATTGCAGATCAGTACTAGCATTAAAAGTGTACCACCACTTTAAGCGCTACACATAAATGCAATCCCAGCTTTCTTTAGTTAAAATAACATTTAAGTGGTTGCTTGCTTCAGCCAACTCCCAAATGTACAGAGCAGCTCATCCTGCCCACGTTCCTCTCCACCCCACCTTCTCTCTGACTAAATATAGTTAGTCAGTGCCCAGCCCCTGACTTCCCATGGCACATCCCTTTTCTAGGGTGACTCATTGCTTGCCTACCGTTGGCTCTGCCTTGATACTTTACAGGTCCCCACACTAAAGGCAGATACTTGTGATCTCGTTTAATTAGAATGACATATTAACGCCTTCCCTCCTGAACTTCTGGGTGGGGTCAGAACAGTTCATCACAAACCTCAATGTTTTTTTAAAAATACTAAATAACTAACAACAGTGGATCTAAACTCTTTCTCTAGTCGCTTGCTGTGGTATGTTCTCATGAGTGAATAAAACAGACTTGCTGAAGTCAGCAATGGAACTGTGGCAAGATAAATTTATTTCACTTTGCTACATCACCATTATTTTAAAAAAACTGAGTAGGAGGACAACTGAATACTATTATACAAGAATCCAAACAGGTTTAAGAATATATAAAACAGAAAAATAGGTATCTAGCCCTATTAATACAGGTTTCCAGATTTATGCCTACAATTAGAAGCATCATTGAGACATATGATGACCATTTTGCTGTTCGTTAAAAATACATCAGTGAAGTGAGTTGTCTAGTACAACAGTAGTTTGGCCTTGTGCATACTGTACTTCTCACTGAAAGCCAAAGAGGAATTAGGTCCTTATGAACAGTCTTGACATAGGATTTAAGAAGCTTGATTTTACATACGAGGCTAAAAGATAGATGTATACACGTTTCTGAGCTCGCATGTTTTGAGTATAGGAATCCTAATGTGTTGATAGTATCAGTGGTAACAAACTGATTTAAGAATATAATTTAAATATTGCCACACTGATATAGAACAAAGGACTATCTAGCCCAGTATCCTATATCTCACTGTGATAGGGCATACAAACCCCACACTGGAAAGGAAGTGGTTAAAAAGCTGCTCTGGTCCCACCACACCTGCAAAATATGCACAGCCTGGAGAAGGCACTTGACTTTCTCAGGGAACAGATGGGCAAGATCCCCTAGGAGAATAACATGAAGGGGAAAAGGAGTCCAGGAGAGCTGGCTGTATTTTAAAGAATCCTTATTGAGGTTGCAGAAACAAACCATCCCGATGTGTAGAAAGAATAGTAAATATGGCAGGCGACCAGCCTGGCTTAACAGTGAAATCCTTGCTGATCTTAAACACAAAAAAGAAGCTTACAAGAAGTAGAAGATTGGACAAATGACCAGGGAGGAGTATAAAAATATTGCTCAGGCATACAGGAGTGAAATCAGGAAGCCCAAATCACACTTGGAATTGCAGCTAGCAACGGATGTTAAGAGTAACAAGAAGGGTTTCTTTAGGTATGTTAGCAACAAGAAGGTGGTCAAGGAAAGTGTGGGTCCCTTACTGAATGAGGGAGGCAACCTAGTGACAGGGGATGTGGAAAAAGCTAATGTACACATTGCTTTTCTTTGCCTCTGTCTTTATGAATAAGGTCAGTTCCCAGACTACTGCACTGGGCAGCACAGTATGGGGAGGAGGTGACCAGTCCTCTGTGAAGAAAGAAGTGGTTCAGGACTATTTAGAAAAGCTGGACATGCACAGGTCCATGAGGCCAGATGCACTGCATCCGAGGGTGCTAAAGGAGTTGGCGGATGAGATTGCAGAGCCATTGGCCATTATCTTTGAAAACTCATGATGATTGGGGGAGGTCCCGGATGACTGGAAAAGGGCTAATATAGTGCCTATCTTTTAAAAAGGAAAGGAGGAGGATCCGGGGAACTACAGGCCAGTCAGCCTCACCTCAGTCCCTGGAAAAATCATGGAGCAGATCCTCAAGGAATCAATTCTGAAGAAATTAGAGGAGAGGAAAGTGAACAGGAACAGTCAGCATGGATTCACCAAGGGCAAGTCATGCCTGACTAACTTAATTGCCTTCTATGACGAGATAACTGGCTCTGTGGATGAGGGGAAAGCGGTGGACGTGTTATTCCTTGACTTTAGCAAAGCTTTTGATATGGTCTCCCACAGTATTCTTGCCAGTAAGTTAAAGAAGTATGGGCTGAAAGACAGGACTATAAGGTGGATAGAAAGCTGGCTAGATCGTCGGGCTCAACGGGTAGTGATCAATGGCTCCATGTCTAGTTGGCAGCCGGTATCAAGCGGAGTGCCGCAAGGGTCGGTCCTGGGGCTGGTTTTGTTCAATATCTTCATTAATGATCTGGAGGATGGCGTGGATTGTACCCTCAGCAAGTTTGCAGATGACACTAAACTGGGAGGAGGGGTAGATACGCTGGAGGGTAGGGATAGGATACAGAGGGACCTAGACAAATTAGGGGATTGAGCCAAAAGAAATCTGATGAGGTTTAACAAGGACAAGGACACTAAGGACGGAAGAATCCTATGCACTGCCACCGACTAGGGACTGAGTGGCTAGGCAGAAGTTCTGCAGAAAAGGACCTACGGGTGACAGTGGACGAGAAGCTGGATGTGAGTCAACAGTGTGTCCTTGTTGCCAAGAAGGCTAACGACATTTTGGGCTGTATAAGTGGGAGCATTGCCAGCAGATTGAGGGATGTGATCATTCCCCTCTATTTGGCATTGGTGAGGCCTCATCTGGAGTACTGTGTCCAGTTTTGGGCCCCACACTACAAGAACAATGTGGAAAAATTGGAAAGAGTCCAGCGGAGGGCAACAAAAATGATTAGGGAGTTGGAGCACATGACTTATGAGGAGAGGCTGAGGGAACTGGGATTATTTAGTCTGCAGAAGAGAAGAATGAGGGGGGATTTGATAGCTGCTTTCAACTACCTGAAAGGGAGTTCCAAAGAGGATGGATCTAGACTGTTCTCAGTGGTGACAGATGACAGAACAAGGAGCAATGGTCTCAAGTTGCAGTGGAGGAGGTTTAGGTTGGATATTAGGATAAACTTTTTCACTAGGAGGGTGGTGAAGCACTGTAATGAGTTACCTAGGGAGGTGGTGGAATCTCCTTCTTTAGAGATTTTTAAGGTCAGGCTTGAAAAAGCCCTGGCTGGGATGATTCAGTTGGGGATTGGTCCTGCTTTGAGCAGGGAATTGGACCAGATGACTCCAGAGGTCCCTTCCAACCCTGATATTCTATGAGTTTATGATTCCATGAAAAGGGGAGCAGAGCAGCTCAGGAGGAGGCAGACAGTGGAGGTTAAGAGATTTATATTCGGAGCTCCTGCGAAGGAGCACGGCAGGAGTTCCTGACGTCTGTTTATAGGGACTTGGTCAACTCCTTGAAGGAGGAAGTCACACCTTTTCAAAGGACTTTATCTTTGAGTTCAGCTAATAAATGACTTTATCTATTGGGAGGAGAGAGGCTGGTAGGAAGTGATCCAGGGAGGCAGAAGTATAGCACTTTGGGGTGCAGGATTTAGCTGCTTATCACTGGCCCTTGAATGGAACCTGGTGGAGAGGCTGGGCCTGGGTTCACGTACCACTACCTAGGGAGTGCCAAAGACAAGAGTCTACCCTTGGTGTGGAAAAATATAGTTGAGGGAAGGCCTTGAAAACAGAAGGGGCTGGACCACGAGACCCTGACCCAAGGGGACGCCGGGATCCCCTTGCCTCAGAGGACTACTCCATTGCTGGACTTTTTATATACCCAAAAGTAGCAGATGCAAATGAATGACCTGGCCTTAGGGATGAATTCATGCTTGACTTCAGATTCATCATACCCCCAAACATGCATGCTCCTACAACTGGAGGTAAGCACATGTCAGCTCTTTGAAAATGCTTACCTGTCCTCCCCATGTCAGCAGTAATCCCTAATATAGCCAGCGGTGGGAGCATCTGATGCTTACAGGGCAGCAACTTCCTCACTCAAGCTTCTCTACTCTGAAACCTCTCTTGTTTTTGTTCCCCTGCCACTAAATGCAGCCATGTGATCTATGACTATGGAATTCTCAAGCCTGGGCAGCATGTTCATAGCATGGTCCCTGAGCAGCTTGTAACTTCTGTCAAGTAAAGAATAGAGAAGATAGAGCTACTATGTTGGGGAGTCAAAAAAATAATGAAAGAGCCAAAAGGACTAAAAATAAAACATAATGAGGGGGAAATAACAGGATGGTAAAAGAGGACAGAGGAAGGACAGGAGAGGTAGAGTAAAGAACAGAGGAAAGGAGATGCAACGGAACTGTGTTGGGACATGATGCAAAGGGATGTGAAGGGAATGGGAACACCCATCTGCCAAAACAAGCCAAAGGGGCTTCTGCAAAAATAGTTAGGAACCATTGTATACAGTGATGGAACAACTCAGCAGAAATAAACAGTTGTAAATCAACAAGATTTCTTCCTCATGTGCTTATTATAAAATAAGAAAGTAAAATACTTTCACAAGCATAAAGTAAACACAAATTCCAGTATGGGGTTCA